CAACTCCAGTGAACAGAATATTTTAATTCTAACAACATTAAAGATAAAATTCAAGATATCTTTCAAGAGTTCTTTATATCTTAACAATGTTTCTTATCTTTCTTATATTTCTTATATTTCAAGAGTTCTTTATATCTTAACGATGTTTCTTTAAGAATTTCTTTAAGAAATTCTTAAAGATATCTTAAAGTTGTTTTATGCGTCGATTTTAGATATTCTGCTCATTGCATTGAGAACAAACGTCTGGAAAGTATGGAAGTATAATCATTTTTCCAATGTGAGCATCACTATTATTTGCAGCATTTGCCAAATAATTCATTAATTCTTGATAAGTTTCAGCTCGTAATTGTTTTTAATTTTGTTTACAATAATTAATTTGATCTTTTTCAATTTTAATAATTATAATTATCTGCCAGCCATTGCTGAAATAATCGCCTTCCCATAATAAAAATATTAAAATTATCACGTACAGCTATTCGATATTTTATATATGCAGTTCTACTTATTTATTTATTACTATTTACATTGTAAATTATTATATCAACCTCGATGAATTACCGTATGGGTAATACAATGGATAAATCCATGGTTCTACATTTGGATCCATCATATTGATCTGTTGTAATGTTTTATTATTTTTATTATAAATTGTCACATAAGTTTCCGGAATTTCACCGTCTGCCGTAGTGGAAAAAACAGCTGCTACTTCATTCACTCTTTATATGTTATATCGACTGCGATCAATGCCCCTTTTCGTTAAAAAAAACTTAACTATAATTCACGTATATTATGATTTTCAGTTAATTGCTGTTGCATTTAAATTTCTTCATTTATTTATATGATATACATTATTTAAAGAATTTTTTGTATTCTTTTTTGTTCTGCACATTAAAAAAATATATTACATCATAAAGTTTAATTTAATTCATTATTATTTAATTTTATATTGTGTTACAGGCTAAAAAACTTTAAATAAATATAATTGAATTTTATATTATTATGATAAATAACACAAATATGTAACGTTAAGTTTATGTATAACATATACAACATTAAATTTATATTACATTCAATTATTATTCATATAAAACATTAAATTATTTATACAATTAATTACTTATTTATATATAATTATTATTTATATATAAAAATAATAAATTTATACATAATATGAACATTTATTCTTAATGTAATATATGGTATATATTACATATCCCGGAATATGACTCCATTGGAGGTCCACATAACCTCCATAGTCTTCATGCGACATTTGTCTCCATAAGTGTCGGTCCACAATAGATGATTTAAACTTTAAGAAGTAAGAAATTGACCAATTATAATCGAATATGAAAAGAATAATCGACTATGATTGGTCAATTTCTTACGACTTAAAGATTAAATACTTATTGTGGACCGACACTAATGGAAGTCAGATGGACCTCTAATAGAGATCCATGTTACTTCCATGATGGAGTTCTAATGGAGGTCTATTAGACCTCCATTAGATGTCCATGTAGACGTCTCATGGAGATTGTATTGATGAACGGATGTTTTATGAAACTTTCATGGATCATATATAGAGCTTAATTAGAGGTTTTAGACCCTTTGTAAATAATAAGTTTATGATAAAAAATAAGAATATATACTTATAAATAAATTAAAAATTTATTTATAAATATATATTCTTAATTTTAGCTAATGCATATGTCTTATTTAATTGTGTATAAATGATTATACCAAATATAAAAAATGTATTTCGAACAAATATCTTATGTATTTAATACGATCAACAAATATATAAACGGACAAATAAAATATATAAATTTATAAACATTTCTCACATAAAACATGACAATAAAAATTCATATAACATGTAACCTTCACAACTTTATATATATAATTAAATTATCTACAAGAATTGCATATGTAAGAATATTGATGTTGAAACTATTTAAAGCATATGACAATGTGATAACATTTATTAATTGGAGATCTGTTATATTTTTATATAAAAATCGCAAGTTTAATTTATAACATTGTTGCGACTGAACGGCGATCCGCTCATTGTTGCCCCGGAAAAATCAATACTTCGAAAATCAATATTTTGAAAGAGAGGATCGTTCCTTAACGACGTGTCATTTGATGTTTGGATTACGCATTGTGTTGTTGTGATTGTGATTTGTTATTTCGCGGACTACGGTGGCCGACGTGTGTCCGCGACGAACCATTTGTACATTTGCATAATAAAGTTCCATTCTTTTTAGTGAAGTATGGTTATTTCGCGCGCAGCTCTTCCGTTTATCGCGAAACGTCATTGAGACTGCCGTTAGCGCGACATTTTGAAGTCTCGTTCTGGATAAAAACAGTTCTTCGGATCGTTCGTTGCTGTAATGGCGGAGAGTCGAGTGCTGGTGGGCAATGAAAGTGTGGCAGAACAGCGGAATCTTTAAATTCTGAAAGTGCAACGGGGAGATGGATGGCTACGGCAAGGAAGAGGACTTGTGCGGAAAATAGTAATTTTTCTATTTTAACGGAAAAACTGATTTTAACGGAAAACTGATTAAAGAACAGAATAAAACATTTGGGAATCGTAAGATGAGGGTTTCAAGTTGCAGGAAACCTGAAAATTTTACAGAGAAGAGAAAATTTACCTCGTAAAGTAGAAGAATGTTGGTAATGCAGGAAGCGAGAACACTTTCGTTTGGAGTGATCCATCCTTTACAGACACAAAAGGGAAGCTATGAAAGAACGTACTTTCAACGTACGTATAAAAGAATATCAACATGATGTCAGATTAAAACACGTCGCACAGTCAGCATAGAACATAGCATTGAAACAGGACATCAAATATTTGATAAAACAACAACAATAGCTACGATTACCTTGTATTTCCCAAGGAAGTACAGAGAGGCTATAGAGATTCAGAAACATCACGACAACCTAAATAGATATAATAGTTACAATATAAGTGACATATAGAAAATCATTTTCCCGATTGATCGAAAGTGACTCCCCCTCCCCCCTCTCTCTCCATCATAGCTTTAGCCAATCTTTATCTTCTCTCCTTCACTTCTACCCCCTCCTCTCATACACCATATACGAGGGTAGTCTGAAAAGTTTTGAGCCTTAACATGAAGATGACGTTACTCATCAAAACGATTCTAATACTACACGATTCTAATAGTATATGCTTTAAAAGACTTTTATGAAAATTTCAGCCCTTTTGGACGCTCAGTCGTTTTGTGTCAGTCGATGTGTTTTTATAAAAATGGAAAAAATTGAATATTGTGCCGTGATTAAATTCTTTGAAAGGCAATACTCCTGCGCAAATTAAAATCGAGTTGGACGCTGTTTACGGGGACTCTGCCCCATCATTTGCCACCGTAAAAAGATGGGCAGCTGAATTTAAACGTGGTCGTACCAGCTTGGCTGATGATGAGCGTTCGGAACGGCCAAAAACTGCGACCACCACTGATAACATCGAAAATGTTCACCAAATGATACTGGACCGACCGTCGAATCAAGGTTAGAGAGATAGCAGAGGCTATGGCATATCGAAAGAACGCGTTTGTCATATATTGACTGAAGAATTGGATATGCGCCAGTTATCCGCGCGTTGGGTGCCGCACTTACTCACTTTGGATCAAAAACGAATTCGAATGAACATTTCCAAGGCCCTGTTGGAGCGGTTCAAGCGAAACTAGTCAGATTTTTTGTGTCGATTCATAATTGTAGATGAAACTTGGATCCACCACTACACTCCAGAGACAAAAGAACAATCAAAACAGTGAACTGCAAAAGGTGCAGTGAACCTGCTCCGAAAAAGGTAAAGACGGTTCCATCAGCTAGGAAGGCGACTGTTTTTGGGATAGTCACGGAATTGTGTGTATCGTCTATCTTGAAAAAGGTAAACAATAATGAGAGTGTATTACGCATCATTACTTGATAAGCTGAAGGCAGAAATTGCAAAAAAATGGCCGCATTTGAAAAAGAAGAAAGTGCTGTTCCATCAAGACAACGCACCTGCTCACACTTCGGCGGTCGTCATGGCCAAAATTCACGAACTGCACTTCGAATTGGTTGACCACCCACCGTATTCATCAGATCTGGCCCCCAGCGACTTTTTCCTATTTCCTAAGCTTAAAGTTTCGCTTGGAGGACAGAGATTTTCATCGAACGAGGAGGTCATCATATACGTAAACGCCTATTTTGCGGAGCAAGACGCCAACTACTGTTTGGAGGGATTAAAGAGGTTAGAGTATCGATGGGAAAAATGTATCGACTTAAAAGGAAATTATGTTGAAAAATAAAACTATTGTAGCGAGCGCCGAGAACGCAATCACGCCCACCGCTGACAAAGCGGATTGCGGCAAGCGATACTTTACCCGACGAATTATTATTTTATCAAGCGATAGCGATTACCAACGCTACCGTGCTAATCGCGCATTTGTGTAACCGCACCACGTGAAGCAATTGCTAACCGGGTTGCGCGGCCCTTATGCGGAAAGCCGCCGCGCGACCTAGAAATATACCGTGAACGCTGACGAACATTTTGATGACACGGCAAGGACCGACCGCCTGGAACAGGATAAAAACGGAAGACCGATACTAGGAGAGGACTGGTCGAGATCCGCCGTGCCGTCACGTCTGTCGCGGTCCGAATTAAAAAGGACAACCTGTATCAATTTTTAATAAAGTTTATTTAGTATCGAACAAAGTAGTGAGCGTCTCTTTCCCGCCGACTCCTTGATCGATTCCCGAAATGACCTGCACAACATTTCTGGTGGCAGCGGTGGGATCGTTTCGCAGCAACACCCAGTTATCTGGAAGGAACAAACGATCGGAATTCAAGGAAAAGGCCGGAAAAAAAGTCGACATCCCTGCAGCGAGAAAGAGCCGGTAGGGCTACAACGCCGAGCATATCAGTGACACCGGAGAAGCAGCGACCTACCGCAACAGCCAGCGCTATGCCACAATGCGAATTGCGAGCGTAATGTAAGTCATAGAAAATTAAGGCGAGCGCATTAGATAGCGAGAGAAGCGTATAGGTAGATGTCGAACGTAGGAGTTAACCAAACTCCCGCCCAAAGAAATACGTCGTGGCTACATAGCGCGTCAGCCAGCCGAGCGCTCAGCCCGAGCCCTCCGAGCCTCGAGCAGACGGAAAATTCACGCGATCTGCGCGATAGTGTACGCCGCGATTTAAGTAATTATTATTCCGACGATAGTCTGACGAGTCAACCGGAATTACATCCGAACATTGTAATTGAACGCATGTTTTCGCTTAGCGACATAGATAATAGCTTACTACCGAGTAGTGAGAGACGCAACGACGCTCTATTACAACCAACAGACGCGAGATCTGACCGTAGCGACGGCACGAACGCAAGCCCTAGCCGCGGAGGATTCTCATTGACATCTTACGATAGTAGCGTGTTCGATCCAACCGAATTTTACACCGCGTCACGAAACATAAATCCAGCGGAAATGGCAAATCAACCCTCGAGCACATCGTTAAAACCGATCGCGGAAGAACAACAAGCAGTAAACAGAGAATTGGATGACGAAGTAAAAAGGATGAGAGCCACTTTAAGCCAGGCACACTGGAAATCTGACCCGGCGGAAGCTTCGCACGACGTGCGAGATGCAATGTTGGTCGAGTTGATAGAAGGCATGCGAGCACTACAGGGCCGCATAAGCCAACTAGAAGTCGTTAATTATGATCGGAGTGCAGAAAATGACGAACCGATAGAAATGACATACGGGCGTACACGGGACGATGTCCGAAATTCGCGAGACTCCGCACATTTATGAAACTAAAAGAAGCCCGCGATATGATTCCGGAGATGGATCATCGCGGAATCAAGTTCAAAAATTTTTAAACGCAAGCACGTACGCGATGAGCGAAATAAATCCTGCCGACGAAAAATCATTATTAAAAGCGATCTTGTGTACGAAACTAACAGGGAAAGTCATGTACGATTTTCAAACAAAGGATATACGCATGTTTATGCAACTGAAGCGCGAGATCGAGATGTGTTATTTGGCAAAGCGTAGCACTACGCACATTCAGCGAGAGTTTAATATAACCCGCCAAAAATCCGGGGAAAGCGCGCGAGAATATAGACTCCGCGTTGACAAACTAGCAATGGAACTCTATCAATCTATGGTAGAAGGACACGACCACACCGCGGAACAACGAAAGGCAATCCTAGATACGATACAGGAATTAGCCCTAGAAAATTTCCAACTAGGATTACGTGACGAGATACAAACAATAGTACGATCCAGGAACTATACGAATTTAACAGCTGCGATGCTAGGCGCAACAGCCGAGGAAAAATTAAAAGGTAGCCAACCTACAAAAATGTACAATAACGAGAAAGCAAGAAGCAACCAAGAACAGTATAGAAACCGCAATCAAAAATTGGAGTGTCACAAATGCGGTAGGCTAGGACATTTCGCGCGCGACTGTCGTTCAAGCAGATACACAAACAAATATCCGCTATCGCGAGCCGAACGACCGGCGAACGTAAATAATATCGAGAAATACTGCTTGTACTGCAAAAGGCAGGCCATAAGCGCGACGAATGCTGGTCACTGAACGGCCGCCCGAGAAACGGCAGCCGAGACGCACGAGACAGGATAATGAAAAAGGGCGACAAATAAATACCGCTGTAATAATGAGAAAGAATAAGCAGCAAAGGGGGAGCGATGACCTATCATTCATCAGCAGTGGCGATGACGAAGAAGAAGAGAAACCGAGAACAAAGATAACGCGAACCGTACGCGAGCATCAAGTGACACAGGTGAATATGCCTCACACAAACGCCGTGTTAGACTTGATTACCCTGCCGATGCGAGAGACAAAAAAGGGAAAACAAGTTTCCTCCTCGATACAGGCGCCACTTTGACATTAATAAAAGTAGGGAATCTAAAGGGAAACACACTAATGCGCGGAGAGCGTTTAGCCCTAACCGGAGTTACGGGCCACAAGATACACACACTCGGAAAGATAAGAGCAACGATAACGCTAGGAGACCGAAAGATACGGCACGGTATGTATGTGGTAAGAGATGACTTTTCAATAAATTATGAGGGGATACTGGGACTAGATTTTTTGAATAAACAGCAAGCGAAATGCGATCACGGGAAAAAACAAGTCCGTATTGGCAACACAACTTTCAAACTCTACCCGTACAAGAAAATCATGCTAACGCCTCGCAGTGAAACTATAATTCAGGCGGTAACTGATCAGAATAGCATTGCAATAGTAAATGCAGTCGAAACCAAACCCGGAGTTTTCATAGGAAATTGTTTGGTCATACCAGAAGAAAACGTATGTCCAATAAGTGTGATAAATACCACGGGAGAATCCGTGGAGATAACAACGCCGCTAGTCACGGTGAACGAGATAAAGACAAAAGACGCCGCACACATGTATACTATGGAGATGTCAAGTAACGAAACGAGCGACGAGATAAAATCCCCATTCAAGCTCGTAAAGAAAAATTGCACAGACAAATGCGAACCGAACATTTAAATAAAGAGGAAAAGAAAACCTTGCACCAGATTTGCGAAGATTTCCGTAATATCTTTCACCACGACCGCCTATCGTACACTAACTCAGTAGCACATGAAATAAATACGCGAGCAGATAGCGCGCCGGTGAATGTCCGACCATATAGATTACCAGAGAAGCACAAGGCAGAAGGAAATAAACAGATAGCGAAAATGCTGGACGACGAGATATCCGTCCCAGCACGAGTCAGTGGAACGCACCCTTACTAGTAGTACCAAAGAAATTAGACGCATCTGGAGAGCGAAAACTACGAATAGTTGTGGATTTTCGGAAGTTGAATGACTTAACAATTGGCGATTCTTTCCCGCTCCCGAATATCACTGACACACTAGACTAACTAGGAAACGTGAAATACTTTACAACATTGGATTCAGCATCGGGATACCATTAAATCCCCATGCATGAGGAACACAAACAAAAAACAGCATTTTCCACACCTTCCGGGCATTACGAATTTAATAGAATGCCTTTTGGATTAAAAAATGCGCCTGCAATATTCCAGAGACTTATGAATTCCATACTAACCGGATTACAAGGCCTCAAATGCCTAGTCTATCTAGATGACATCGTAATGTATGGACCAAATTTGAAAGAGCATAACAAAAGACTAATTGAAGTATTCAAAAAACTAAGAGATTACAATCTGAAACTACAACCGAATAAATGTGAGTTTTTAAGAAAGGAGGTGACATACTTAGGACACATTATCTCCGAAAACGGTATAATACCGGATCCTGCGAAAATAACGGCTGTAGCAAACTTTCCAATACCAAAACGGGTAAAAGATGTACAATCCTTCATAGGATTAGCCGGTTATTATAGAAGATTCATCGAGAATTTTTCGAGGATAGCGAAATCACTGACAAAACTAACAAAAAAGGATGAGAAGTTCACTTGGACAGCAGAACAACAGAACGCATTCGAAACATTAAAAGAAAAATTAACAACCACACCAGTTCTAGCTTACCCGGACTTCACTAAACAATTTATAGTAACGACAGACGCATTTAGATACGCCATCGGAGCAGTATTGTCGCAAGGGCCAGTAGGCCAAGACCGACCAATTGCATACGCAAGCAGAATTCTGAATAAAGCGGAACAAAACTGTAATACAACAGAGAAAGAATTGCTAGCCATAGTATGGGCCGTTAAACTCTTTCGACTGTACCTCTATGGAACAAAATTTCAAATAATTACAGACCACAAGCCATTGATCTGGCTATTTAGTATAACAGACCCTGGTTCAAGATTAATCAGATGGAGGCTCAAATTAGAAGAGTACGACTATGAGGTGATACACAAGGCCGGTAAAGGCAATACAAATGCGCTCAACAGAAACTCGATCGCGCCTGACACACAGATAAACAGCATCGAGCGCGACAAGGAAGAACGCGAATATAACAAAGAAGACAAGGAGCAAATAATGTACGAAATATCGAATATCATAATGCCCCCCTGGAGAACATCAAGGCGTAACACGTACCGTAAATCGAATACGACTAATGCACAACTGGCACGGACTAATACGAGATGTGGAAGAATACATCGCCAAATGTGAATATTGCCAGAAAAACAAACTAAGCAAGAAAACCAAAATGCCTCTAGTATTGACTGACACGGAGAAAGACCGTTTCAAAAATGCGCCCTGGACATCGTAGGACCACTCACGGTCACCATGAAAAGAAATAAATACCTACTAACATTTCAAGACGACTTAACAAAATTTAGTAAAGCAATATCGATACCAGACCAGGAAGCAAACACGATTGCCAAAGAGTTCACCACAAAAATAATATGCGAATTCGGAATACTGGAGACAGTACTGACAGATCAAGGAACGAACTTCGTCAGTGAAATGTTCAGGGATGTATGCACCCTCCTAAAAATAACGAAAATTCAAACAATCGCGTACCATCCTGAAAGCAACGGAGCCCTGGAGAGATTGCACAGGACTCTGATCGAATACTTAAGGCACTATATAAACGAGGCTCAAATCAACTGGGATGAGTGGATACAATACGCGATGTTCATGTACAATACGACACCGCATACAGCAACGGGCTATACACCGTTCGAATTGATGTACGGGCACCGTGTAACATTATCTACGGCCCTGGCAGCGCCACCGAAACCATATTATATATACGATAACTATGCGCAAGAACTAAAGCATAAGAGAATGACTCAGAGCCACACAAAAAGTAGCAAAAGAACATATTCGCGAAGCAAAACAAAAGGCAAAAAACTATGCTAATAAAAATACGAATACTAAAACCTTCAGAGTAGGAGATAAGGTCCTCCTGCATGACGAAGCAGTGCGCAGAGAACGATCGAAGAAATTGGAAGCACCATGGATAGGTCCATATCAAATAATCGAGAAAATCTTTGATGTTAATTACAAAATTAAACAGAAACGAAAAATTACGACGGTGCACGCGAACCGACTCAAACTATTCATTGAAGACTAGCAAACAACGCATACGAATAATTACCCGCGAAAAGCAAAAAAAAAAGCAAAAGCAGTAAAATAAAGACATTAATAATAAAGACAGCATAAATTAGAGTTAGTAAAAAGAAAAAATACAGGACTCACCAGTCACGCAGGACGGCGACGAACCGTTGCCCGGTGGCAACGCAAACTTGCACCCGCAAAAAGTCGCGGGGATAGAGCCCCTCGCAGACGGGCGGAGGGGGCGCAGGAGATCTCTCGACACAGATTGCTCGTGGAGCACGGGGACGATACTCCCCCGTCCAGACGACCGTGGACGGCCACCTGGACAACATCCTCAGCGCCACACGTTGGGCCGCCAAGCGGTATGACCGCCGCACGCACTCGCCACACATAATGGGAATATGCTCTCGACCACACCTAGTGCATTGCATAATGGAAAACCCAAAGAACAAACTAAAAACCTTCCACGACGCGCAACAGACCGCGGTCGACGGCAGACTGAACAAAATAATTTATAATATTAAACGTATCACACAAAAAATGCACGACTAGGATTCACGGAAAAGTAACCTGAACCTGAACCCTAAACTTGCAGGATGCTCCTTATGTGCAGAAGAGCAGTACAAGCGACACCTGATTCTCAGCATGCTATTGACTGGAAATTGTTCTCGCACCAGCCAGGAATCTACTACGAGGAAATCGGTCAACTGAGACAGGCTGAATCGGCATGGAAATTAGTGATAAAACTGAACGCAAAAGATTTAAAGATCAGACATCAGCAATTGCAAGACTATATGGAGGAAACCGCAATACAGTGCCGAAAAGTAATAGGCAACGCTCAGTTAGGTTGCCGAAACATTATGAGGATAATAGAAAAAGGAAATACCAAACTGATCACACTGTTAACACAAGTAGAAACGCTATACAAAACGACTGACAAACGATGAGGACTGCTAGATGCGGTCGGGTCGGTCAGCAAAATGTTATTCGGAACGATGGACGCCGACGATCAGAAATTAATAGACGAGCAACTGCAAACGTTACGAACAAACGGCAAGGTACTGCAGCACGCAGTAGCAAATCAAATAAGAATAATCAACGCCACAATAGCGCACTTGGACGAATTAGAAAATACTCTAAACTATAACAAAAATCTGATAATGAGTGCGACAAAACGACTAGAACAACGGTTGACCGAGTCCACACTACAGGCAGACGTAGACGAACACTTACTAATCCTGACAATGATAATGAATGATTTAACGAAGGACACGGAAAATGTAATAGACTACCTGACATACGGGAAAAACGGAATGATACCGACACGACTATTACTCATCAAACACATAATAACAGCCCTCAAAGAAGCGGCTACACAATTAACCATGGGATTACACTTTCCTTTTAAAATCCAGATTGAGCACTGGCAGACAATACACACATACATTACTTTTAGCGCGTATTCAGATGGTCCATACATATACACAATCTTGCGATTTCCGGTAGTAGCATACCCTACATTTAAACTAGTTAAAGCAATACCGTTACCGGTACACGATCATGCGAATGTATTCGCCTACGTAAAAATAAATCATCCTTTGTTAGCTATAGATAAAGAGAATCACCATTACAAATTACTAGAGGAAGTAGAGTTAGAACGCTGCATACGAGAAACAAACACATACACACTGCGAACAGAACTTCGCGATATATTATGCGGAAACAACAGCATCATGCGAGGTGCAAATATATACATACACCAGGACAGCTCAATTACTGCATACGATTATATTACAGTTACGCGACAACATATATAAACTAGCCAGTAAGATCACCTTCCATCGAAGGGGGAGGGATGTCGCGAGCGCCGAGAACGCAATCACGCCCACCGCTGACAAAGCGGATTGCGGCAAGCGATACTTTACAAAAGAATCATATGATATCTAACACACCGTTGTGGATAGCATTGACGGAGGAGCAAGTGGCTTTAGTGGCTCCACGACACATAAGGAAATTAGCATTAAGTGCGAAAAGCAAATAGAAGAGAAAATTATATTAGAAGAAACCAGAAAAATAAAACTAAAAAATAATTGCAAATTAATCACACCAAACGTAATATTAAAAGCGCGAAAAATTGAGGGAATAAAATATATCCAAAATCTCTCCGAGTACAATATAACATTAGAAATAAAAAATAAAGACACAAATAAGAATAAGCTAGCGAAAACTGACACGTTACGACAAATAATTAAGAACCCTCCCTCCCAAGATTTAACTAAGTTAAGCGTAAGTCTAGAAGAAATAAGAGAAACTTTAGAAGATAGCGATTATAACTTACTCAAAAGTAAATACACTGTATACTCTATGGGAACAGGCACCTGCGTAGTAATAATAACTATAATAGGATTAATAACATGGCGCACAAACAAAAACAAAAATAAAAAGCAAAAGAAAAGCGAGATGACCGCACAGAGGCGCCGCGACGATGCTATGTTATATTAGTCATAAGCATCGGATTGCGGCAAGCGATACTTTACCCGACGAATTATTATTTTATCAAGCGATAGCGATTACCAATGCTACCGTGCTAATCGCGCATTTATTGTGTAACCGCACCATGTGAAGCAACTGCTAACCGGGTTGCGCGGCCCTTACGCGGAAAGCCGCCGCGCGACCCAGAAATATACCGTGAACGCTGACGAACATTTTGATGACACGGCAAGGACCGGCCGCCTGGAACAGGATAAAAACGGGAGACCGATACTAGAAGAGGACTGGTCGAGATCCGCCGTGCCGTCACGTCTGTCGCGGTCCGAATTAAAAAGGACAACCTGTATCAATTTTTAATAAAGTTTATTTAGTATCGAACAAAGTGGTGAGCGCCTCTTTCCCGCCGATTCCTTGATCGATCCCCGAAACGACCTGCACAACACTATATTTGACCGAAAAAATACTTGTTTCTATGTTAGGCTCAAAACTTTTCAGACTACCCTCATAGATGACGTAGTTGTATTTGGAAAAACTTTTGAGGAAATGAAAGAAAATTTGAGAGAGGTTCTTCTTAGATTTCGTGTTGCAAATCTTAATGTTAACCCAAAGAAGTGTAATTTATTTAGTAGATAGGTGAAATATCTGGGACATATTGTTTCTTCAGCAGAGATCGCAACAGATCCTGAGAAAACTAGCAGTTACAGAATGGCCGGTACCTCAAAATAAGAAGCAGGGCCAAAGTTTCTTTGAGTTCTGCTTTTATTATCGGAAATTTGTTAAAAGTTTTTCCTCTATTGCAAGACCTTTGTTTAAATTAACTGAAACTCAGACTATCCTGATACGGCTCAGTCCAGATATATACATATATAAATATATATAAATATATCTGGATTGAACAGTGTTAGGAAGCATTTCTTAAGTTAAAGCAAGCATCGACCGCGCCTCTTCTTTCTTTTCTGAAAGGGGAAGGGAAGATGATTTTGGATACTGATGCTTCAGGTTTTGAAATAGGGGCGGTATTCTCTCAAGTTCAAGATGACAATGAAAGAATCGTTGCTTATTATAGTCGAGTTTTGAGTAAATCTGAATGAAATTATTATATCATGAGGAGGAAGTTATTAGCTTTAGTCGAATCGATAAAATATTTTTTCATCATTATCTATACGGACGAAGTTTTTCTATCCGTACTGATCACGCTTCGTTAAGATAATTGATATCCTTCCCAAAGATTTGGAAGGAGAGTTAGCTCGCTGGATGGAATTACAGCAATACGATTTTGATGTCGCAGCTAGAGAATGTCTTCAAAAATTTATTGGCATCAATAGGATGCTTGAGAGATTCAGAACTGTATTCTTCATAAGAGATGGGAGGCTCCAAGCTTGAAATCTAGTTTTCTTCAGTTAGTCCTGCGTAATAAAGTGAAACAAATCTTGGAGAAGGTTCATGATATTCCTTCAGGTGGGCATTTCGGAGTCTTTAAAGAAAACTTTAGAAAAGATACGGAAGCGTTTTTCATTAAGTCACTTGTAAAAAAAATGTAGAAAATTGGTATAGAACCTGTAAGATTTGTTTAGCGAAGAAAGACTTTTCTGATAAAGGAAAATCTTTGTAAATTTTTAATTCGGGGGCTCCTTTTGAAAGGATTCAAATGGATATTCTCGGCCCGTTATTTGTTTCTTCTTTGGGAAATAAATATCTCTTTGTGATTGTTGACTGTTTCACCAAATGGATGGAGACCTTCCCTCTGAAGAATATGAGAGCTACGGTGGCGGAGGTCTTTGTTAATCAAATCGTTTCTGCGTATGGAGTCCCGCTAAAACTTCATACCGATCAGGGGAGGAATTTCGAGTCCCAGCTTTTTCAAGAGTGATGAGAATCCTGGGAATAAGGAAAACTAAGACAACCACTCTTCATCCTCAGTTTGATGGATAGGTTGAGAAACAATATCAGACAATTTTTCAGTATTTATCGAAATATATTCATGAAAATCAAAGAGATTGGGATCGGATTTCCATGTTTCTTCTTGCTTATAGAACTTCCAAACATGAGGCTACCGGCGTAATCCCGAATTGTATTTTGGAAGAGACCTCATCTTACTTCTGGATTTACTTAGAGATACTCCTTCAAGTTATGGTTGTCCTGAGTCAACGGAAGAATGTGCTCGGAATTTACGGCAGAATTTAATAAAATTTATTAGAGAGTTAGAGAACGATTAGAATCAAGGTCTCTAAGAATTAAATGTTGATATGATCGAAGACATTTTGTTTTCGAGGAAGGGCAGAAGATTTGGCTATATCCTCGTTAAAAGAAGGGAAAATCTTTTAAGTTACAGAGCGATTGGGAGGGACCTTCCGAAATAATTAAGAAATTAAGTGTTGTTTTCTATATTTGTCATTCAGGAAGGCAAGGAGTAAAATTGTTCATGCGGATAGATTAGCTTCTTTTATGAGAGAGAGGAACTGTAGAGAAGTTAGGGAGTTTCGGAGCCCGGTTATTTAGAAAAATATGAGCTTAACTATAATAAAATCTTATTGTGTTTATTTTGCTAGGAAGTTACTGTTTTTCTATTTTCTTTTTCTTTAAAGTTCTCGTCAAGTTTAAAGATGGGGGAATCCTCTTGTTTCGCCCGAA